ACAGAAGAGGTTCAACCCACTCTCCCGTACCCCCTAATCCCACTTCCATTAAGCTCTGTGCTTCTCCCTCTCCCAGCCCCTAGCAACCACCGCTCTACTTTCTGTCTCTATGAATTTGTCTACCTTAGGGACTGCACACAAATAGAAGCAGACAGTGGGCCTGGATTCGTTCACTTAGCACACTACCTTCCAGGTTCATCCCTGTTAGGGTAGGGCTAATCCTTTTGACAGGTGAAGGATTACTTCCTAATTTATCTTTTGAATTCTGATTTCTACTTAGCAGAGCACATACCTATAAAGGACTGATAGTAACAGAAGTTCCTGCTCCCCCTTTCCCCCCCACCCCCCACATTAAGGAATGAGCCTCACCATCTCCATCCCTAAGCAAGAGTAGAGGCTGAACTGCTGCCCAGTGCAGGGCAGAGACAGAACAAACATGTTTCTGAACAAACACGGGACCAGGGAACAACTTAGCACCAGCAACAATAGAAGTGAAGCACCTTTCTTTAAAGCTTACTGGTGTGGCAGCAAAGTGCTGCTCTGAAAGCAAAGCCTAGTGGCCTCTTTGCTGGAAAACAATGACCTCGGTGTATAGCTGATGTTCTGTTGCTGAGAAACTGGACAGCTAGGCAAGACCCACTGGCCTGTGGCTTGCATCGCATCTTCCTGACCTTTAGCAAAGCTTCTCATGCCCAGACCCCTCAGCTGCTTCACTTCCAGAGTAAAGGGTGGGATTGCCATTATTTAAGGTTCTTTCATGTGGAAAATAATTCTGACATATGATTATTTTTGTCTTATTCTGTTTGAATTGAATACCTCCCAAATTTCAGTTTGGCTTTCATTCTTCCTGGATTATTATTATCATTATTTTTTTCCCTTTTCCTAGGCTGGCTTAAGATTTTTAATTTACTTCAAGTCATTTTTTTTTTCTAAAGTAACAATTATAAGGAAAAGAAGCCCTTGCCTATAATTGAAAACCAGTGTGGTGAGCACAACATAATCTCAAAAATAAACATAATAGAAACCAAGTAGGACCAAGTGGAATTTCAGCGTTCTGGTTTGATGGAGAGCTACTAAAGATACTAAAGCTCCTCCCTTCCCCTCCCCATGTCCCCTCCCCCTGCTCCATCCCAACAAGGCTTTCTCCTGGCTTTAATTGGAAGGACTGGAACAACATTTCACAAAGAAATGACTTCTTCCTTTTGTGATTCAAAGCCGTGCAATTCCTTCACGGGCACCTAAGCCTTCTCCATTTCTTTACTGTTCAGATCAACTCTGTCTCAGGTATCAGGAAATAAGCTATCTGAATCAAAAAGGTGGCAGGCAAACATCGATTTAGTTCCAGTTGGGTGTCTATTATTGGAAGCATCCTTATTTCTGTTGTATTGTTTATCATTAAACACTATATGGGTAGAGACTCTTCCTACCATCCCTCATAGAAAACTGAGGCCTATAAAGGGCCAACAGTTACACATAAGCTCCCTGTGTCATTAAATCCTAACAACTAAAGCCCAGGTTTGAAAGGCTTAGGATTTGAGAACCCCCCCTCCCCCACCCCCCACTGCCTGGGTTTCTCTCTCTCTCTGTCTCTGTCTATGTGTGTCTTGATTAATATTGCTTTTCCGTTCAAGTGCCAAGAACATGGGCTAATCTAGGTTTCTATTAATCTTGGGTCCGCGGCAATGACAGCTTTACGGGGAGAGGCTGATAAACATCGGTCTGTGCGGATGGGAGGGGGTCATAACATAAACACACTTCTCCACAACGGCTGCTCCACATAGCCAGGGTGCCCAGCTCTGGTGGTGCGTGTGTACACAGCGGGGACTCTCACACACATGCGTGAAGGAAGCACCAGCGTGTCCCAGACAACACAATGCACACGCTGCTGGGAGTGGATTTTCCTGAGCTGTGGCTGAGTCTGCTTTAGCTGTACCAGCCTCGGGACTTGATCCTCAGAGCTGCAGCCATACCATTCCTCTTCTGATTGACAGAACACACTTCATAAAGCTTCCAACCAACTTCCTGAAAGCCTGTGTGTATGTTGGGGGGCCGGGGCTGGGGTGGGGAGGGGAAGGCGCCTGATAAGCAAGTGGAATTCAGGGCAATTAAGTGCAATCTGAGCTCTGAGAATGTGCTTTTCTGAGGGTGGCTATACACCAGCTGCTTCCAATGACATTCTCTTCATTCAAGGATAACTGTGACCAAATCGGCTGCTTCTAGGGGCTTCATTCAAAACAGAGGCTCTGGTGGTATTCAGGCTGGGCTGTTTGCTGTGTTTGTGGCTTGTGAACCACCCAGCCTATTTATAAGCTGCAAATGGAAATCAGGTTGGGGAACTGAGAATCCACAGGAGGGTGGGGCTTGTGGGGGGCGTGGCTTCACAGAAGTGAACTACCCAGATCATTCATCCAAGGGCTCTGCGGCTTATAGCTCCATCACGGCTTACTATTTACAAGGCTTAGCAGGAACAGCCCTGTCTCCCTCCCTCCTTTGTTTCCTCATCAGTGCAATGCATTCTTAAAAGTATCCATAATGTGAAATAGACTGTTTTGAGCACTTTTCGATGTAAAGTGGATTGGTGAGGAGCTTATCCACACAGTCAAATTCACCTTGTCTTTGATAGGATGAGATTCGAGCATGGAGCTGTGGCTGATCATTGAAATGTGTTGAATAGGTGGTAACTATAAAAAGTTCATAGCCCACTGCCATTTTTTTGCATTATCTATTGGTATCTTGGGCTTTTTAGGATAGATAATGCTGTTGTGACATATGTTTGTTGGTGGGCTGATACTCAGCAGGGGATGATACAGAAATGGGGGCGGGGAAGGTATAGAACCTACCAATTGCCTCAGGACTTAGAATCTGGTAGGGAAGGTGAATATATATGCATCAATATTCATGCATATGTGTAGGGTGTACAACTATGTCTGTACTTATTTGTGTCATATACTAGGTACATCCACACATACAAGGAAATAAAATACTTGAAGCAACCAAAGAGGAGATTGATGCCAAAGAGTATGGAACAGAACAGAAGCAAGGTTAGGTGAAACATTGGTATGAAGTGTACAAGTTTTGAAACATGTTTGCCTTTATGGTCTCAACTTGATTACTATTATTTCACAATCATGTCCTGAGCTAGAACAGGGTAGGGATCATGATTCTCATTTGCAGGTGGATACACTGAGGCCCAGAATTACAGAGTTACCCAGAGGGGTAGTGTACAGGGAAATAGGGTGCCTCAAAATCCAGTCCCCTATGTATCTCACCTTGTGTCCTACCGAGGTCAAAGGTAGTTCTGACCAGAGTGAAGCAGTGTCAGTGCAGAAAGTCAGGGTTTCCCACCTCGCGATGTAGACAACATGGTGGGTGTGGTGTGATTTTTGAATAGGCCACAGTGGGACAAATGTTAAATGAACAGTTATGTGTAGTCTCCCACATTTGACATGTTACTTGCCATGATTTTAGTGGGCTACAGTCCAAAAGTATTACATGGAAAATAAACAATTCATCAGTGTTAAATTGCTGCCATTCTGGAGTAAACTTCCAACTCCATCTTACCTGGAAAGTACATCATCTTCATGTGCATTGTGTCTTCATTGTCTGTGCTACCCCCCTATCTCCCTCTCCCTCCCCCCCCCCCCCCCCCCCCCCCCCGTCTGTGACTAGCTGTCTCATTTATCTGATTGACTGTCCTGATATCATGGTGCATTTGGTCACATGGCCCTTATTTTGCTTAATCACCGCACCAAAGTGCAAGACTCGTGATATTAACAGCTAACTTTATTAGAGTCTGTTGTTAATTTTTTTTTCAGGGCTTAGAACCTGTCTCTTAGGGTGCTTGATTTATAAGTTAAACTTTATCAGGAATGTATGTATGAAAAATGGGATGTGTAAGAAAAAGAAAAAAATTAAAAACCATAGGATGCATAGGATACAGTACTGTCTGAAGTTTCAGGCATTTACTGGATGTCTTTTTTTTTTAACTATAGAAAAAACACAGGCATAGTTTCTATCTCAAATAGGACCAAAGAAGTTAATTTTTATTTTATTTTTTTGTCAGTCATGGGCTGGAATGCGGGGCCTGTGTCCCTGGGCAATTTTGCTTCAGGCTAGCATTCTATCATTTTGAGCCACAGCTTCACTCCCAGTTTTTTGGCTGTTAATTGGAGATGAAGCTAAGAGTCTCACAGACGTTCTTGCCTGAGCAGGCTTCGAAGCAGGATCCTCAGATCTCAGCCTCCTGAGTAGCTAGGATTACAGGTATGAGCCACCAGTGCCCAGCTTAAGTTCATCTTTAACATCACTACCGCACTCCAAAACTGTAGACAACACAATTATTGGGGGTCTTGGGACACATTTTCTACAATAAAGGCTTCTGTACCCTCTGTGTTCCTTAGACTATCATGTAGGTGATTGTGTCTGTATGAGTGTGTGTGTGTGTGTGTGTGTGTGTGTGTGTGTGTGTGTGTGTGTGTGTGTGTGTCTATGGTGTTCCAGTAATGGAACTTGAAGTCAAAGCCTTGCATTCTTTCTGGGCTTTTTTTTTTTTTTTTGCTCATGGCTAGCATTCTACCATGTAAGCATGCCTCCAGTCCTGACTTTTTGTTGGTTAATTGGAGATAAGAATTTCATGGATTGGTCTGCCTTGGCTGTGATTCTCAGGTCTCAGCATGTGAGTTGTTAGGAATATAAGAGTGAGACGCGAGGGCCTGGCTAAGTTGGTGAATTTGTAGAAATGATTTGTCAGTTTAAGTGTAGACTAGAGTCCGTAGGAAGAGTGGTTTTTGAGTAACAGAGCCTGCAGTCTACAGACAGGGCAGAACTTGAGATGGGTGTGATGGACTGCAGCGGGAGACACAGCCCATCCCAGTTCTGTCAATGAAGACTCGGGACAGGCGAGAAGATGGCCATCCAGGTTTCCCATCAGCTCTGTGTGGGGATGAATTGATCTATTGCTGACACTCACGAATCTTCTTGTGTTTCGCTTCTCTTTGTAGATTGCGGACTTTGGGCTTTCCAACCTGTACCAGAAAGACAAGTTCTTGCAAACATTTTGTGGGAGCCCACTCTATGCATCCCCTGAAATCGTCAATGGGAGGCCCTACCGAGGGCCAGAGGTAAGAAGTCTGCCTGGTGTACACCACATAGGGGGAGGAGAAGGATGAGGAGAAGGTGGTGGAGGGGAAGGGAGGAAGAGGGAGCAGCAAATAAGCAAAACCAAACAAAAGAAGCAAGCAAAGAAAGCTTATGTTGACTGAAATAATATCAGCTATAAAAGCAAAAGTATTTGGAAAATCCTAAGGGAGAAAATAAAGTTATCTGTAACTCTTCGCCCAGTAGAGACCACCTAAGATATATCATAATACATCTATATCTGTATATCTATGTCTATATCTATATATCTGACTCTTAGACTTTTCCAAGCTAGAATTCTGATTTCAGAAATAAGTGAGATCTCAAAAATAATTGAGATCACCTAAAAATAACTGACCTTGCTAAAAGGCAAGGTCTCCTTCCTGTGACACACATAACATGTACTTCTGCCCTTTGTTAACTTAAAATTTATTTATATTTAATTATATTGTCATATTACTTAAAATGTGATTTATGATGATCACATAACTTTATTTATTTATTGTTGCCAGTCTTTGAGGTTGAACACAGGGCCTGGATGCTGTCCCTGAGCTTTCTTGCTCAAGGATAGTATTGTACCACTTGAGCCATAGTCTTAGGGACTTTCTCCTATGTGGGCTGGCTTTGAACTGCATTCTTCAGGTCTTAGCTTCCTGAGTAGCTAGGATTACAGGTGTGAGCCACCATTGCCCAGCCATAATGTCTTTTATATAAATATATTTAAGAGTGTTTTTGGATTGAAACATTTAATTTTTCCTATTATATCCCAGTAAATAGAACAAGCAAAGATGAAAACCCTTGACTCTTCAGTGAGCGTCTCTTTTACATGTATTTTTGACAGCACATATATTTAACACAGAGATACTTTTTTTGGTCAGATATGGGGCTTGAACTCAGGGCCTTGTCGCTGTCTTTGAGGCTGGCACTGTCTCTTACCGCTTGAGCCACAGCACCACTTTTGGTTTTTGAGTGGTAATTGCAGATGAGTCTCATGGGTTTTCTGCCCCGGCTGGCTTTGCACCATGATCCTCACATCTCAGCCTCCTGAGTAGCTAGGATTATAGGCATGAGCCAGCGGTGTCCTGCCAGAGATACATTTTAATTACGTCTTTCTTTCATGAGAAAAGTATTTCATGTCTAAAGCATCCAGATACTTAGATATGAAAATATTATTTTGCAAATGGGCGAGGTGTTAAGGGGGTCACTGTCCATTAGGAAGGTGGTTCTCTTTACAGAGAAATTCACTCTGTGTCCTTTAAATAGCAGCTGCCCAGTGGGTGGAAATGTTTTCTTACAAATATTTATGTGTTTGAGAGTATTCAGGGGCAAAACTGGGTGTGGGGTGAAGGGTGCCAAGAGCTTGCACCAGAGAAGGGAAGCACCAGAATCAGTGGACATAATGGTTAGAACTTGACATTGTAAAGTTATCATAGCTCCTGAGTGCTGCTTTGGTTTCTCATGCTCTGTGTCTGAGGCACAAAGTTGGTAATCTATGATCTAGCCAAGCAAGCATGGTTTATTTGGCCACACTTGTATTTGTAAGAAAATCAAACAAGTACTTAATAACTGAGAGACTTCATAGAAAAGTCTGGGTTTTGATTTCTCTGTAAAAACTAAAGGATCCCACAATACTGGTCCTGCATTTCTTCACAGTAGCAATTAGCCAAATTTAGCTGCCTGCCCAGGATGGATGAATATACTCTACAGTTAGTTTCTGTCCCTAAACTTCCATATTAGTTTCTGTCCCTAAACTTCCATATTATGTCTCTTCTTTTTTCTTATTTCTTTCCATCTGCCTGGCTCCGGTGCAATTTGAGCTTGCAGCCTATGGTGCATTTGAATCTTGAATTGGGAATAAAGAGTCCTCCGTTCTAATTTTGCCTCCATCACTGGGAGAGAGCCACTGGAAAAGCCAATTTGTGGTCTTATGCCTCAGTATTCTAATCTATTAAAAGGAGCTGAAAATATTCCAGGCCCACCCTGCTTCAAAGAGTTATAGCGAGGACCAAAGGAGATAATCTACTGAAGACAATTCTTACGTAGGCAGGACCTGCTGCATTGATGCCTGTGTCAGTTGTCAGGCTGTCTACCCTGTCTGCCAGGTGTCTCACTCAGTTCCTAGGAGGCAACGGTGGTGGCTGCTCACAGCCTGTGATGCTGACAGTTTGAAGGATATGTCAGGAGTCGGTTTTTCAGCTCCTATGTCTCCCATCTCCCTGCTCCAGGTGGACAGCTGGGCTCTGGGCGTGTTGCTTTACACTCTCGTGTACGGAACGATGCCCTTTGATGGTTTCGATCACAAAAACCTCATCCGCCAGATCAGCAGTGGAGAATACCGGGAGCCCACGCAACCCTCAGGTACGTGTCCTCCAGAGGGCTGGGGAATGGGGAGGGAGCCCACACGCTCTCCTTCATATGTTTCTACATACGTCTTTAAGGAGTCTTCTGCTTTACCTCATCCATCTTTCCAGAAAAGTCCTCCTAGACAAAGCCGGCCTGTGAGACTGCTTTAGCGGAACTGTCCTAGGTGGAAATTTCAAAAGCAAATATTCTACATGGCAGCCTGGGGGGCTTGTATACATCTGGGCAACTCAGTCTTACTGGCTTGAGTTTCTCCATGTAGACAGATGACCCACATTTGCCTATACTGATGTGCCAAGCGAGGGTAGTGTTCTGTCCTTTTCACCTCTTTGCCTCGGCCTAGAGTCAGATTCCTGGGATCTGATCCTTCTGACCCCAAAACCAACTCAGTGGTTTAAACAACCACCCTGTAATCATCTCTCTCCATCCTCTAGGTTGAGCAGTGTCCTGGCCTTGCTTGGGGGTTGGGGGAGTGTCTTTCTATTTGTAGCCAGCAGGGGGCACTGCAGCTGGGGCTGAGCTTTGCCTGCCTCAGCACCCTTCCATGTGGACTCTGCCTCTTTGAGGCCCTCCCATCCTATGGCCTCTTTTCCAGGATGGAACCTGGCTTGCTTACATATCAGCTCAAGATTCTTAAGAAGGAAAGAAGCTGGTAGATGTTCTCATTCACTGTGCTTGGAAGCTGGGTACTGTGGCCTCCGGTGTGTTCTGGTGGTTAAAGCTACCAAGCTCGGTCTCTTCAGCGTGATGCATACACAGTGTGAATGTGTACAGATGACTATCAGTGGTGTACTTAACCCAGGATTTCACTTATCTACAACAGAGATGTGTGCATACTGACTGAGATACACACAGCTGACTCTCATTGCTTGCTATAGTTATGCTTTATGAAGTTGCTTCAAGCACTGAGAGTTAGTGGATACAGATCCATTTTTTTCTAGGGGGAGAAGCAGGGAGGGAGGGAGAAGCAGGTGAATTCTTGTCATAATATTTTTGTCTATTAATCAACACTCAACAATGTTTGTGTATTTATACTTAAACACACCTTGTGAAATATATGTTATTAGCGGGGCACTGGTAGCTCACGCCTATGATCCTAGCTACTCAGGAGGCTGTGATCTGAGGATCGAGGTTCAAAGCCAGCCAGGGCAGGAAAGTCTGTGAGACTCTGGTCTCCAATAAAGTACTCAGAAAAAGCCAGAGGTGGCACTATGGCTTAAGTGGTAGAGTCATAGCCTTGGGCAAAAGAAGCTCAGGGACAGCCTCCAGGTCCTGAGTTCAAGCCTCAGGACTGGCAAAAAAATGGAAAAGAAATAAGTTATTGTCAAATTAACTTTGAAGTCGGTGATCAGTAGCAGGCCTGAAGTTTGTCTAACACATCCTTTCTCTATAAAGCACATCAAGGTCTTTTTGGACTTAGGAGTGTTAAGCAGCACTTCTGCACTCTGCTTTGGACCATTTTAAGCAGAGGAATCACAGCAGAAAGTCCCCAGATGTAAAATACGCTTGCTCTCCTAAGTAGGCTAAGAAAAGCATGCTCGTGTACTGGCTGAGAGCTGAAACCAGCTGCTAGCACACGTAGGTTTTGGGGCCACTCAAACATTTCACTGCTAGGTGAATGTGCAAAAATGCCTACAAGAGCTGGGAGTGGCGATTTGGGGATTACAAATAACTTTTGCTTCGTAGGGGAATTGGTAAATACAGCATCCATGGATAATGAGGACTGACTTGCCTATGAATTTATAAACACATATATATTTATATATAAGGTAATATATATGATACATGCACACACATTTGCACATCCATACACATATGGATGTTTGTATATCCATATATCTGTATATGTTTAGAAACATACTGAGACAGAGTGAATTCCAGAGAGAAAGGGGAGGAAAGAAGTACATATATCCTATATCTAGCTGTAGATATATATTTGTTTCTCAATAAGCTAAGCTGTTCTTTTGGGAAATTTTTGGAATAACTTCTTTGGTGGTCTCATTTGCTTTCCTCCTCCTCCTCCCCTCCTCCTAACTGGTGCTGATAGAAATCCTGGCACATTGTGGGAGTTCAGGAAATGCTTACCGAATGACTGAAGACCATCCCATTGCTTTTCAGGGGTGCAGCTCTCTGGTCCCCATTGCCAAACCTTTGCCAGCTGCTCAGCAGCCTTCCTAGGTGGCCGGGGAGGGGAGTCTGGGTGGGAAGTGGCAGCTTCCCAAGATATAATCCAACCCCAACTAGAGGAACATAGTTTGACCTAACACTCAGCTTGTTGGCGAGGAGCATCCTTGATCATCCAACCCTCTGGCCAAAGAGATGTACAAGGAGAATGTTTTTGAGACAGGCTGTGGATAGAAGAGTAGATAGCAGGTACAGGTTAACTCTCTCATTTGACATCTCAGTGAATACCAGTATGGCTTAGGTCAGACAAGGAAAAGAGGTGAGCTCATTGGGTGTGGCTCTCAGAACATGGCCAAGACCTTGGAGTGAGGCTACCTTTGGGGACAGCTGCTCTACTTGCTCAGGTGTGTCAGTGAGCACCACACCTGACACCCTTGAACTCCTCTCTGCCCTTGCCTCCAGGACCTTTTCCAGGGATTGGAAGCACTGAGTGTTTATAGGAGCCACAGTGCTCAGCCACCTGTTTTCTGTGTCGGTAAAGTGATATCCACTAAAGGAATAGCGAGATCAAGCCTGAATTCTTTCCTAGTTAAACCTGGCCTTCTGTGCTTTTGGAAGGTCTGGGGTGGTGGAAAGGTGGGTAGTTACAGGACATTTTTTTTTTTTTTTTTCTGTCATGGAAAAGCAGGATGTGCTAGTTTCCTGGCTTGTGGGTATGGGCCTTGGTTGTGCTTTTTGTTGTTGTTGTTGTTGTTGGTCATGGGGCTTGAACTCTGGGCCTGGGTGCTGTCCCTCAGCTCTTCAGCTCAAGGTGAGTGCTCTCCCACTTGAGCCACACCACCACTTCCGGTTTTCTGGTGGTTTATTGGAGATAAGAATCTCACGGACTTTCCTGCCCAGGCTGGCTTTGAACTGCAACCCTCAGACCTCAGCTTGATCATGCTTTTGATGTCCAGTATGAAGAAAGGGCTCTGGCTTCTTGCTCCATAGTGAGACAGGCCCAGGCTTCCCCATGGCTTTTTCCTAAAGTGAGTGTGTCTATTAACTGCTTCTGGAGATCATTTCTACCCAATAGCCAAAAGATCCCATGCATCTTTCCAAATCTTTCTGTCTCTCATCCTCTAGATGCTCGAGGACTCATTCGGTGGATGCTGATGGTGAACCCCGATCGCCGGGCTACCATTGAGGACATCGCGAACCACTGGTGGGTGAACTGGGGCTACAAGAGCAGTGTCTGCGACTGCGATGCCCTTTGTGACTCGGAGTCCCCGCTTCTGGCACGGATCATCGACTGGCACCACCGTTCCACTGGGCTGCAGGCTGAGGCTGAAGCCAAAATGAAGGGCCTGACCAAACCTGGAGCGTCGGAAGTCATGCTGGAGCGGCAGCGATCGCTGAAGAAATCCAAGAAGGAGAATGACTTTGCCCAGTCTGTCCAGGACTCGGTACCGGAAAGCCCATCCAAGTTGAACTCCAAGAGGCCCAAGGGCATCCTGAAGAAGCGAAGCAACAGTGAACACCGGTCACATAGCACGGGCTTCATTGAAGGAGTGGTAGGTCCTGCCTTACCATCTCCTTTTAAGATGGAGCAGGACTTGTGCAGGACTGGTATGCCCCTGCCCACCTCTCCTGAGGCAGACATGCAGGGGAAGCTCAGCCCCAAGCAGTCAGCCACTATGCCCAAGAAAGGAATCTTGAAAAAAACCCAGCAGAGAGAATCAGGTTACTATTCATCACCAGAACGCAGTGAATCCTCAGAGCTGCTGGATGGTAATGACGTGATGGAGAGTGGTCTCCCTTCCCCCAGCCTCCCAGACCCAGCCAGGGTGACTTCCCACAGCCTGTCCTGCCGCAGGAAGGGCATCTTGAAACACAGCAGCAAATACTCAGCAGCCACCGCAGACCTGGTCCTCGCTAGTCCCGAAATGCCCACACTGGAATCTTTGTCAACATCTGGGGTCCCCACCGAGGGCCTATCTAGGAGCTACAGCCGCCCTTCCAGCGTCATCAGCGACGACAGTGTCCTGTCCAGCGATTCCTTCGATTTGTTGGATATGCAGGAGAATCGTCGCGTCTGCCAGCGCATCCGCAGCTGCGTCTCTGCTGAAAACTTTCTCCAGCTCCAGGACTTTGAGGCGCTCCACAATCGGCCCAGACCCCAGTACCTGAAACGGTATCGGAACCGGCTGGCAGACAGTAGCTTCTCCCTCCTCACGGACATGGATGATGTGACTCAGGTGTACAAGAAAGCGCTGGAGATCTGTAGCAAGCTCAACTGAGCCCTCCAGGGCACCCAGGATCGGGGCGGGTGGGTGCAAGGGAGGATAGGGAGCAGGACTTGTACTAACAGGCTGGTTAGTTACCTCTTTGCTGGCCACAACCACAGACTGAAAAAGGACTGGCGCCGTCTGGCTTGGCCAGGTTTGCAATCTTGAGCCAGCGCCTCAGAGGGAGAAGCAGCTCTCTGCCAATTCTGCCAACTGCCAGTCTGAATAAGCATCCTAATTGGCATTTGCATATGACACCTTGTGGAGGACCAGCTGTCCCAGGAAGGGAAGGTGGTATTGGCTAGCACTTAGTGGAAGGGGAACGGAGAGGGAAGATCACATTCCCCAGAAGCATTTTTAAATGCTTTTGGCGGTGGCATAAGAGAGACTGGGGCCATCCATTTTGGATGAACCCAAAGAGCTTGCTTGTTCTTTTTTGTTCTCACATAAGCAAGCTTGGTCTGATTGCATGGGTTGGCAAGATTTCATCAATTTGAGCTTGAATCAGTGATCAATTGTTGATGTCTACAGGATGTGCTGATCTGAGTGGCCCAAGCACATCCGAGAGTGCTGTGACTGATAGTAATGGCTGCTGTGGGAACAGGAAGTGGGAAAGTAGCAATCATGCTATGTAGTTGTCATTTTTGATATGTCTAAGCCCTGGGAATCAGGTCAAAGCATTTTATGCTATGGGATCTGTATTAACTCTTTCATGCCATTTGTTCATTTGCTACTCAACTTTAAATGGGAAACAGGGCCTTAGTGAGACAGAGAGTCAGGGAGAGACAGAGAGAGAGAGAGAGACACACACACACACACACACACACACACAGAGAAAGAGAGAGAGAGAGAGAGTTAGTACGTGTGCTTTTAGCTCTATTAGGGACACAATCAGTCCATGGCAATTTTTTGATTCCTTGATGTCTGCTTCCTCTTTCCTGATGTCTGCCTTGCTCTTTAGCACAACCTCTTGAAGATGGACAGGAAAAAAAGATGGCAATATATCAGAGTCTGAAACTAATAGTTGTGATTAGAGCACAAGACCCTTTGCGGTTTTTCACAGTTGGATGGAAGGTGAGCCCCACCTGTAAGGGACAACTTGACATTTTTCTTTAATATCTCCATAGGAACTAGAATTTTCTCACCTGCCTGAATGGATGTGGTACCTCCCAGTCTCCATGGAAGCAGCTGGCCCAGCTTTTAACCCCCAGGCCCTAATAGAGCGCATCTACAAAGTGTGAAATCCTCAGTGGTAGACGAATTTGCATCTAGAGTTGGTGTGTAGGTGGCTAGTTCAGCGAGGAAAGGAAAATCAGGCTGAAGGAACTTCATTCCCCAAATCTAAGTATTCTGTATTGTGGTCTTAAACTTTGACATCCTGGGCTTGGGGGAGAAAGCATGTTCTACCTGTTTAAGGGAACAAAGTATTGAACAAGGAGAGTGGGTCAGGAACCAGCTCAGGAGAGGACTGCTTCCTGAGGAGTCATCCAGATGGCTCAGGAGGAGGCAGAAAACAAGTGTGACAGGACTCTTAAACTACTTATATAATTGATAAATTTCCATGTGATAAGAGATGAATATTCCCACAATAGGCTTGAAATTCAGATTCCATGGGCTTAGGCAAATCAAAATCTTCTTCTCAAGATGGCGCCTTACTTAGAAAGATTGGAAGATGGGTCTCAGGATATCATTGGAGAACCTAGAATATCATTGGAGAACCTTATAGCACTGAGAACAGTAATTAGGATGACATCGCCCCTTCCTTATGGAGACAGTTCTGTTTCTTCCTTACCCACTAGCCCTGGTGGCCTTCCTTCAGGCTGAGCTGAGTAGTGCATTGTGGGAAGCTGCTTAGTTTATTCATTCAAGTTCACCTCTTTCCTGAACTCCAGTAAAGACTAAAAGGGAGAAAAGTCTATAGATAACTCACTGGAGGTGTGGGGTGCATGGTGGGAAACCCATAACCTCTGAGTTCCCATCTCCTTGCCTCTTTGTATGCAGCCTTTTGTGAACTGCCTCTGCTGCTTCACCGCAGGCCTCCAAGCATGGCTGCTGGCCTCATCAGTACCTTTCAAATATGGCTTAGGTGTAACATCTACCTACTAGTTGATGTGATTTTTTTCCCCCCCATTTGCCAAGTGATCACATCTGGTTTGTGTTTTCCATCCTTCTAATCTTTAAGCAAAAACGATGTGATTCAGGAAAAATCCTTCTCTCGTCTCCTTCCCCGCCAACATCAGTATGCTCTTACCACAGATGGTGGCAAACAATATCCTCCAGCCAGAAGCGGGGACTCTGAGCGGAACCCTGCCTGCCGGTGACATCTGATGGTCTCAGATACCTGAGGGGCTGTGGGAGAGAGCTGATTTTTTTCTTTGTAATCCACGAGGGCGGAAGTGGTGAACAGGCTGGTCACCCAGACCCTGCTCTGTTCCGACATCTCTTTCTAGATGTGATGTGAACTGTGCTCTCTAGGAAAAACTTAGACTAGAGGGGAAATCTCTTCAAAGCAACGTTTCCATTGCTTCTTAAGTCTTCTCATCCCTACCAGCCAAACTCCAGCCAAAGAATTTATGCTTGATGAATTTCTATGGAATTACAAGTGACAGACACTTGAGGACCTGGTGTCCTGGCTTTTTTTTTTTTTCCTCTGGGGCCCTTCCAGCTCTTAGTTTACATACCTGCCAAAGGGGTGGAATAATTCTTCCTCTTCTTCCTTCTCCTCTTCCTCCTCCTCCTCCTCCTCTTCCTCCTCCTCCTCCTCTTCCTCTCCTCCTCCTCCTCTTCCTCTTCTCCTCCTTCTTTTTTTTTTTTTTTTTTAAAAAAAAAACAGGTAAATTTCAAGGCAAGATCAGTTTTCAGGAAGTGCTTCAAGACCCCAGGCGAAATGAAAAGTTTTAAGCACCTCTGAATTTCCATCCCTGTTAGCAAGCGCTCTTCCTTGCTCAGCTGAACAGAGCGCTTTGCAGGGTGAAATTCAAGTGAGTTTTGCCCAGGCCTGCTGTCTTGAGTACAAATGTGAATGATCGACTGACTGCTTGTTGCCAAACTGGAAATGTTCTGTAGGGAATTTACTGGCATGGGATCATTCCTAGGAGAAAAAAAGAAAAAAAGAGAGAGAAACTTGACTGCACATTTTTTTTTTAAAAAAAATCCGTGTTGTGACTTTTATTTAATTTCTATTTTTTTGGTAATAAAAAGTTGACTTTTTCATTTGAATTTGTCTTTTTTTAATTTATTGGTCTGAAAGGCATTTCAAAGGTATAATAATATATTGGTGTAATTTAATTGGTGCAACATTCTCTATGGCTCCAGTCAAAATTGGTTTTCACTCATTTGATTGGTTTGAGAACAGGGGAAGGTGGAGAAAAAGCTGGATAACTACCCAAAGTGTTTGTTCTTTATTGGAAACTGATTTTTTTGTTTATTTCTATTTTTATTTTTAAATTAAATAAATTGCAGTGAACCAAACTGAACTGGGACCTTGCTTCTTTATATATTATTTAAGTTAGTCACATATGGGATGGGATGGGTGTAGGTGATAGAAACTTACCCAAGATGCCATGAACATCTAGAGCACATTTATTCTGCATTCTCAAGGGGACACAGCTCGGAATGCACTGGAACAGATGGCTGGAGGCAGTGGGTCCCAGAATACTAAGTGCTCTCTCTTTTGTTTCTCCTTGTACATCTCTTTCTTCCTTTTCAATATCAAATGACATCAAACCCTACCTTATTACCAGATATTGGAGTCCTATTCTGCACCTAGTAGTAGATCCAAGCAAGAAAAGCCTGCTTCTGCAAGGAAATGATCTACTGGAAGAAGCTTAGCTGTGGTATTGTCATGGGTGTGTGTGTGTGTGTGTGTGTGTGTGTGTGTGTGTGTGTGTGTGTGTACACACACTAGTCCTAAGGCTTGCAACTCAAGCCCTGAGCACTGCTCTTGGCTTTTTTACTCAAGGCTGGTACTCCATCACTTGAGCCACAGATCTACATCCATCTTCTTGATGGTTAATTGTAGCTAAGAGTGGTTGGCTTTCAACTGCTACCTTCAGATCTCAGCTTCCCGAGAATTATGGGTGTGAGCCACTGGTGTCCAGTAGCATTGTCATGTTTAGCAAATAAAACTACAGGATGCTCAGTTAAATTCTAAGTCAAGATAAAGGGTCATTTTTTTTTTTAGCATAAGTCTATCTCATACAATATTTGGATCATGTTTATTGCCTGACATTCAAATTTAAGTGTGCATTCTATATTTTGTCTGGCAACCTAATCTGATGGTACTTCCTTGGCATGAATAGACCAGGTCTTGGGTGTCATAAAGGTTGGGAGTATATGCTAATGTTGAGGTCAAGTGGAGTGTAGAACAAAGAACCCCAATTCCAGTTTGGACTCGGTGATCATTACGGAGTCCAAGTGCTCTTTGGGACTTGATTTCTTTCAACTGTGTAAGGACTTTCTTAATTGCTATCTGGAGGAATAAGAGAATTTCTATGATGTTACTCGAGCACAGAACTCAATATGAATGAGAAAAATAGTCCTCTCCTTACAAGGCAATGTCCATTGACTATTAAGAGAGACCATTCACTGGCAATTCACGTGGCCCATAGGCTCTTAATTCTTGCTGAAGTCCCTGTTGTCATTAACAAATGGGAAGTCATGTGCAGAAGGGTCAAAGTGGAAAGATGTTGACACTCGGGAAAGACAATTCTGCATCTAGATCCGATTGGTATGTTAACAACTCTTGATGGAGCTAATATAGGTTGTGGTCCCTTTAAAAGAGCAGAATTGGAAGAAATAACATTTATTGAGTTTCTACATGCTGTTCATGCATTCTTAATTGTAATTGGTGACAAGTGGCAGAAATCCCTTCACAGCATCTTAAGTTATAAGAAAAATTCACTGTGTCATGGAACTGAGAATTCCAGGTACAGCTGGAGGCGGGGGGCCAAGGGAGCATATTCTTTTTGTTTTTGTCCACTATTTTCACTGAATTTGAGCTTCTTTCCTAGATAGAATCTCTCTGCATACATCAAGATAAGTCCTGGCAGCAGGAGAGTTAAGAGTTCCTTCTATTGTACCATCCTAGTTCAGGTTGTGTTGCCCTGTCCCAGAAGGTAGGCAATAATAAAGGACAGTGGTTGGGTTTGCTTGAGTCTTATGGTTCCATCTGGTCCCATCAGAGTGCAAGTGGAGATCTACTCTGATTGGTCTGTCTGGACCATATGACTACCCTTGTGGTATACTTGAATGACAATTGCTTTAGAATCACAACAGAGTGTGGGAGTGCAGATACCCAAAAGGATACAGAACAGACAAAAAGTTGCCCATTAGTTACACTTTTTTTTTTTTTAGCTTCAAGTATATAATAACATTAATCTCAAATGTGAACAGTACATGAAATAAAATACCTAACAGTGCTTGGCACACAGAAGATTTTTAATTTATAGACAGTCTCAGTGAAGATAGTAGTAGTAGCAGTACTGTAGAGAGGAGATATATTTGTTAAGGAGATTTTAGCTGTAAAATCAGCTATCATATCAGAAAATTCAGCTGAGGAGGGCTTAAACAGTGCAGATGAGCTCAAATACTGGAATTCTAAAGGTAGGGGCAGGTTTCTTGGTTTTTTAGAATGAACAACAAACAAATACAAAACCTCTCCAAGTTACAAACAGCAGTAATGTGTTATAAGAGAACTCAATAGGGTACAGAGAGAGGAATGTGGAGGGCTACTTCCTGTAGGAGTAGTCAGAGAAGGTGCCTCAGAGGAAATGGTCTTTGGTCATAGATCGGAAGAAAAGAGTCATGGGAAGAGTAAGCATTCAGATGGGGAATGGTACATGCAAAAACTCTGAGATCTTCAAGACAGCTTTACAGGGTTGATTCTGGTCTGTCGGCATGGGACAGCCATGATGTAGAGAGTGGGGTGTGTGTGTGAAACGTGTGGCCACATGCTGACACCGACTGGCTCTGATGAATCATGACTTCGTGTGCCCTTAATTACAAATGGCAGCTTCCCTCAACAGGTGGTCCCCAGACGAGACTCGTGCTGTGATGTGAGATTTTAAATGAAAAGATGTTTCCGCTGCAGATATTCACTGCCAATTTATTGAAATGGAAAGGATGTTTTTAATCTACAGATGCATGCAAAGCTTGAGACATGGAAATGGAATGGCAGGGATGCTCTATGCAGATTGGAAGGTACAGACTAAGGTGTTAGTGTCAGTGTGCATCTCCCACATAAGTGCCACAGCCTCTTCCCAACAGGAAAATATGTGAGAAATCAAGCAATAATTTTGTTTCAACTTTGTGACCATTACATTCTTCCTGATAGGGAGATGTCTCTTGGGTCATGATAGGCTGGGCCCCTTAGCCCAATGTCTCTGTCAGTTTTTGTTTAGTTTTGAGTTGGTCTGAATAGGCTACGTGATGCTGAAGTAACAAGTAAAGCTTGACATGTCAATGGCAACAATGTAATAAACATATTTTTTCCTTGTACTAGTCTATGATGGGCTGGGCCGTCCTCCTTTCACACAATCTTAAGTAGACAAGAGATTTGAGCTTGCTGCATCCTTTGGTTCTTGCCTTTCAGGGTCTTCAGTCCTGGGTCTGTAAGTGAGTGAGAAAGCACAAATTAGAGTCTCTAAAGATCTGGATGTCACACTGGCCAGAACTCAATTCCCTAAGCCCAACCTAACTTAGAAGATAGTCTTTGCATCAATAATGCTTAAAAAGAAAAAAAGAACCAAAGATAAATCACACGATTCCATTAGGACACTAAGCAATGTTTCTGCCGCAGTTTTTGCTTACCATGAGGATCTCCCAGCAAAAAGGAAAAAAAAAGTAATTACTGATATTACTAATCAATGTAGCAATCTGACTACCTTTTCTATATGTGACATCTTTTAATGCTCCTCATGTTTGCTTATATACATTTCATTAGATGAAGGGGCAGTCAGTGACTCGCTCAAGTCACCAACTATTATGTAAGGAGCTAGATTTAAATAAGAGGTCTGGCTGGCCCACTTCAGAGCTCAAGCTGTTGATTGTTCAGTTAGCCACCTGCAGTGGTTCTTCTGCAACTCCACACTTGTTGATTATAAGTCCAAACTTGTTATCACCCCAGTTTGTGTAAATAGTATTTCATTGCAGGGGCTGAAAAAAGATCAAGAGGGAAGACACTGGCCCAAGACAATGAATTCTCCAAACAAATAATGAAGTGAAGAGCAACACTTTCATTAGTTTTGTATTTATGTCGAGTTCTAAAAGAGTCAATCTACAGAGATGGAATTAGTAGAATGATTCAAGTTTAAGTTCTTGAGAATGGAATGGGATGGAAGAGTTTTTCTTTTCCCTATTGGAATACCTGAAACCAGGTACCTGGTCTTCAAAATTGTGCACACAAAAAGAAAAAAAAATGGTGTACACATGCATCAAATGACCCCACATACTCTTTCCTGTGCAGCACAAGGCTTCAGGAACTTCTGCTTCTAGAGGCTGGAGAGCTCGTATCAGCCTTCCTGGAGCACTATGCAAGCCCAGAAGTGAGGCTGGGCTGCATGAACCTACCTTTCCTCAGGTACTTACAACAACATATTTCATTGTACCATAAACAGAGCAGCACCCAGTTTTTGAGCCCTGAGCATAGGTAACTCAGGCAGCATGCCAAACCAGACATCCAAAGAACACTTCATTGTTGGGTGAAACAG